CCCCAGTCAAATCTGTCCCGTATTTAGCAAAGTGAAGATAAAATAAACAATAAAAGGTGAATCAAATAAACCATTACGGCAAAGCTGGGATGGTCCATTTGGTAGAGTAAATCCGTTGGGCATCTTTCTCCGCCTTTAGACAATAATTCTGATGGTAAAAGAGCCAAACGGGACAGGCAAAAAAGAACAAACAAAAAAAACCTTCTTCTGATTTTAACGAGGATATTTTGGAACTGAAACAGAAACTGAAACATACTCAGCACTTGTTGTGTCCACATACTATTGCATTTGTTCTGTAGATGCATTTACCAAATGCGCTAGTGAGTATGTTGTTGTTGTGGTATTTGGGAAGAAGAAAAAAGAAAAACGAAAGAAAGGAGTTATCTCTGTTCCTACCTGCTTGTGTGTGTAATGCCTGCTGAACTAACACAACAGCACTTTATCACTGAACGCAGTGATGTCCAAAAGGCCGAGCTGTGGTCCTGATAACATTAGTGGCTGCCTAATTAAACCTTGTGCTAAAGAACTCAGTCCTACATTTCAGGTTATTTTGATTAAATCCTTGCAAATATAGCTCCAAAATGCAGGACAAAGCGTTATATAGCAGCTTTGTCCTGCTGCTGTCACTGAACTCAATAAGAATCGTTTTGATTTGATTCATTTTGTTTAATTATCAAATATGTGTTTGCCAGGTTTCATTGTGTGTGTTTTGAGAAGAGATGAAAAATGCTGTCATTTTTCTGCAAAGCTAATTTACCTTTGGGTATAAATAAACCTTAACACGGTCTCTGCCACGGCCTTCATGGGTCTGAACTAAAAAATATCTGGACAGATGAAACCAAGATTCAGTTTTATAGACAAGGACACCACACCATCTGTTTAATTTTCTAATTGCTGCTATCTGTCAATCTAGTTTTAAATATCCTGAGAACCACAAGTAAGTCTGCAGTCTTAGGTGCAGGGTGATATGGTACTACAAGGTCATTAAGATAAGATGGGGCCTGATTATTTAAGACCTTGTATGTGAGGAGCAGGATTTTGAATTCTGGATTTAACAGGAAGCCAAAACAGGAGAAATCTGCTCTCTCTTTCTAGTCCCTGTCAGGACTCTTGCTGCAGCATTTTGGATTAGCTGAAGGCTTTTCAGGGAGTTTTTAGGACTTCCTGATAATAATGAATTGCAGTCGTCCAGCCTGGAAGTAATAAATGCATGAACTAGTTTTTCAGCGTCACTCTGAGACAGGATATTTCTAATTTTAGAGATGTTGCACAAATGGAAGAAAGCAGTCTTACATGTTTAATATGTGCGTTGATGATGCTGTCATCAAACGTGCTTCAAAGTCTGACCTGAGCTGATGACAGTACTTCCTACTCTGTAGTTTTGAACTGGGCACCAAATAAAAAGCAAATGCTAATGATGCTGCTTTGTATCTGATGGATGTGTAGGTACTAGTTGGTACACTTTAGCCACGGAAGGGTGACAGAGATCTATACTATATTTAAAAAAACTTCAGGAGCAGGAAGACATTGATCTTTGACTTGATCTGTACATCATCAGCACTCTCAGTGTTACATGTTTACATTTAAACACAGGAAAGTCATCCATGTGCTGCTCCAGAGCCTGATGACACAGAAGTAGGCCTCACCTCAGCTTGTGGCTCAAAATGAAACAAACTTTGCTGACTGGTTTAATCTTCGATGTGCTGCAACTGCAGCAATGTGAGATGAGAGCATGCAGGGAGCTGAACCTCAGTGATACGGCTCAACAGCATGTCTAAACTGAAACCACACACCGGATCGCGATGAACTGAATATTCACGCTGAAAATCTTTATTGATATGCATTTTAATTTGCTGAGAACAAAACTACTTAGGAGCCCAGATGATGCAGGGACCATGCTGTCAATGGACGGTCCACTGACTGATGACCTAACTGCTGCTGCTGCTCTACACTCCAAAAAGAAGACAAACTCTGTAGCGTCACATCAGTCTTTATTGTCAGTATCTCAAATCATGTTATTACATATTATTTTTCACAATGATAAAAGCAGAAGGTCCACAGTATGAAACGGTGGGTGGAACAGCTGGAACAGCTGTAGTGCAGATGAGTAAACTTGACTAAAGCTTCCAGTAGTGTTGTCTGCAGCTCACATGCATCTGATTCAACTTGCATCACACGTGAGGTTTGTTCATGAAATGTGAGACATTTGTTTGGTGCATAACTTTGGCAGAGAGCTGCAGTCGAAGTTTCCAATAAGAAGACTCCGATTTTCAACTTTCAGTAGCTCATCTTGATAAAAGTAGACGGTCACGCTCTGACGAGCTCATCACAGCTGTGTTTATGTCTCTATTGTTACCATTAGCATGGACACATGACTCAGACCATCACATTTATAATCTCCAAAGGACGTTTTATCATTATTATTATTATTTTAACATAGGGCTGTAGAACTGTAGTGCTGTGTATGGATGCTTCCTGCAAACCCATCATTTCCTCATCTTAATCTTGATAGTAACAGATGCTTTTACAGAAGCAGGTGAGTAAAGACTGAAAACTGCTTTGATTACGTTTCAGCAGATACTTTGGTCGCTTCAGCACGAGACGCCCGTTTGGCTTGAACACGCTGCTGCACACGTGCAGACGGCAGCAGCTGTGAGGAAACACGACTCTTTGGTGAATCTGCACAACGACATCGGGCTGATGTAGCAAATACTACACAGGCTCATCATCGCCATCATCACCATCATGAGCCGTGTGTCTGTTGTCTATCACTTCTATACAATTCAGAACTTACTAAAACGACTGCATCACTAATGACTAATAAACATCAGAGTTTCATTATAAACTTTAAATATTAAAGTAGAAATCAACATCAATGTACCATTTATTACAAATTAAACTTTTCTGTTGAGCAGGATGTTCTGAGGCTGATCGTCGCTGCTTCGTGTGAAACGCCTCCTGCTGCCAAACCCACGAGTTAGCGAAGGACACCTGAGGGCGTCCGTGTCACATGACAGGAGCCAGCTGCTAGCTATGTCACTGTAGCATGCAGCACAACAACGACACAAACCAGAGAACCGTGTGTGTGTGTGTGTGTGTGTGTGTGGATTACAGTGCTGGTTTTAGTGATGTTGGAATGGTGAGACTGGGATTCAGGAGAGACAGGAAGCAGACGGGCAGTGGTTCATTCGTACATCTGAAGGTTTTGCTGGAGAGAGCGGTGTGTGTCATGTGGGGGTTGGGGGCGGGGGCGGCGTCGACCTTTGAACTCTTTAAGCAACGTCTTCCTGGCCTCCGCTGGCGTCTGCTCTCTGTGACACCAGGAACGACTCCCACACCGCCAGACACTGAAACAAAGACGACAATATTAATCTTACTGCGAGCAGCAGCGACGTGAGCGCTGAGAATAAAACTGTGTTTTCAGTGAACGGCAGCTCGTAGTAACGTCCCTCCATCCACGAGGCCTCAACGTCAGCTTCATCATTATTGGTGGAAAATTGACCTAAAGCGTGAAACTATAACTCAACATATTCATCGTCACTTTGACATTAACTATAAAAATTGGTCGACATGGATTTTTATTGTTTACATGTCCTATTGTAAGACACATAGATGTGTTTTTGTGAGCCCAGCGCACCACAGGAGGCAGAGAGGGACAGATCATCGAGTAATCACCGAGATAATCTTTAGTTATGTCCTTTAACATACTGAACACAGATTCAAGATATCACATTTGACCTCTGACCTCAAGTCACACCTGCCTTTGTTTCAGTTTGACCCCAGAGTGTGTCCTGTCTTTAAACACAGTCAAGACAGAGAGAAGAAATACTCAAGCTCGTCCTCCATGAGCTGCTCCTACATCATGTTTGTGGTTCTTGGCAGCCGCGTCACACCAAACAGTGTGATGAACGCCCTCATCATCTCGCCAGTGTGTGTGTGTGTGTGTGTCAGCAGCTATCAAAGAGGAGCTGGTCGGTAAGAAGAAAGCATTTGGAGACTATTTTAGTGCTGCACTCGTTAAAATGACGTTAACGCCATAACTGTATTAAC